CCCTGATGTCCATGCTGTTCACCTAGTTTACCCCTGATGCTCTGTTCACCTAGCAGAAAAATATGTACCTGGGTGTTAGACAGCCGCTTCCTGTGTATGTGTGTGTTAGAGAGAAATATATGTAGTATATATAATGGAGTATGCGAACAAGCCTGAATGGTCCCCAGGCATACATGCAACTGAAAACTCACACCCCAGAAGTGACTCGAACCCATACTGCCAGGAGCACTTTGCAACTGGTGTACAGGGCGCCTTATCCACTTCAGTTATAATAGAGTATATATATATATATATTGGTTAGAAAGGCGGGGTCCTAGACTTAATAGCTCGATTCTGCAGACACAAATAGTAAATACACGGGCAGGCAGACTCACGCCGTCTGCACCGTCTGGTGTCTGCGTCTGCGTGACATTTACCAGCAATAACTAACCAGAGCGTGGCTGGGTGATCGATACCCGCTATCTCCATCACCTTGTTTACGTCGGCGCTCAGCCAGGTGAACCTCTCACCAGTAATTATTCTATTTATTCACCTGTTGACTTCCGTGAGAGAAGGCCATTAATCCAAGTCACTGGAGATTGGACGCAGGCAAGCAAGCAGATAAGGGCCGGTTTAGATTGCTATTTATCATTTTGGTTTTAATTTAACCGTTATTGAGCAGGCGGAAATAATGTTAAATGATGGTGAAGGAGTGTTAGTGTTAGTGATGGTGACGGGGGGGGGGGGTGTCGACGGTGGTAAGGGTGTTAACAGTGGAGGAGGGTGTTGATAGTGGTGGGGGTGGGTGTGTCGACGGTTGTGGTGGATGCTGGAATGGGGGGGGGTGCTGGGGGGCTGCTGGAACGGGGTGGTGCTGGAAGTGGAGGGGGACACTGGAAGTGGAAGAGGGAGCGCTGGAAGTGGGGGGTAGGTGCTGGAAGTGGAGGGGGGGGGGGAAGTTGCTGACCTTGTAGGTAGTGTCGACGGTGACTATAGTGGTGGTCAGCGCTGCTGACGGCCCGGCTGACGGAACCCTTGGCGTTACACGCCTCAGTGAGGCCAATCTGCTTGCCTAATTTACGTACAAAAAAAATACCTGTCGGTGGGAAGAATGGGCGGGAGTTTTCGTTTGAGCCACGCGGGAAATGCGCGATTTTATCCCCCATCGGCAGCCACTCTATCTCTTTATCTATTGGCCCAGTCGAGCCCGCCCAAAGCCTGGCCTCGGCACACACGTCTACGTCGAACGCCAAGGAGAGCTCACACGCACAGGATTACCTGTCCACAGGCAAATTTTCTTAAATTAGCAAATTGGATTATCAACGTGAATTAAAAATGCAATATTAAAAAAGTCCACAAGGGTAGTTTGCAAATGACAAGAATTTAAAGAAAGTGTCGAGAATGACGTAAAAAGCTCAAGCTATTCTCACGTCGCATTTGGAACGGAATCCTTTAAAAATATGACGCATTTGTAAAATTTCAAACACCGATATACTGACGTTCTTTAGTGTATCGGCCTCAATAGGTTAGGTGGGTTGCTTGGGTTCGTACGCGTCTGGTGAGGTAAAACAGCATTTAGGAGACAATTGAGCCACCGAGGCAACACATTCTCTTAATTTGGTGCGTTGGTTACCGGAACGTATAAAACGCGACCTATTAGATGAGAGGACGAGTTGCGATGTCGATCGGGGGAAGGAGTGACGTAGATGCTTGCCGTGCTTGCTTGTGCTGGCGGCGTGAATGTTTCACGAGGTCTCCCGGTCCTTGGCTTCGTCACAGACTAAATATCACGCTATTCAGGGCTCAGACTATTTATAAAAGTGTGCGTGCTCACTCTTCCAACCACAGTGACACCGGTGCCTTGTTGTTCCCGCCGCTCACCCTGACTTGAGCACCTGAGGACGCACCCATGGTACTCACATGGTGGCCACCCGCAGGAGAGGCAAGGTGGACACCCTCAGGTGAGGGAAGGTAGACACCCTCAGGTGTGGGAAGGTAGACACCCTCAGGTGAGGGTAGGTGGTCACCCTCAGGTGAGGCAAGGTGGCCACCTCAGGTGTGCATAAGAAAATGTTGATTGGTTAGTTAACACTTGTGGTTCATTACTGACATGATCTGTTCACGTGTGTGTTTTCTAACATAACATCACCCATGAAGGCTACATCTTGAAACCATTCATTATCTTTCAGTTTATTCACATACTTTCCTCTATTGTTCCTTAAAAAATACTATTTCATTAAGGCACATCAGAATAGGTCCACAAACTCTTTGGAACTTATTTCAACCTAAGTATAATATAGTTTTTTTTGCAATTTTGTAGAAATCAGTGCATAATAGTTTACTCTATGGCAAGAAAATATTCTACTTTGTACTTCGTTTTTTATTGAGTTTTAAAGGTCAGAGCCAGTCTCATAGTTGCAAAGGTTCCATATGGCAACGTGCTGTGCCGTATTCGTTTGACTAATGCCGACCCCGATCCGACTGTGTTGGGTATATACCCAACAGAGAATACTGTGAAAATTTGGTTAGGCTAGCCCTAGCATCTGCTCTTCAATCAAGTTGGATATACATTCCAATTTATAAAGATATATATATATATATATATATATATATATATATAAGATATATATATATATATATATATATATATATATATATATATATAAAATATATATATATATATATATATATATATATATATATATATATATATATATATATATATATATATATATATATTATCAGTTATTTCTTATAGGCATCTTATATGTGATAGCTTCTGCACCAGCTCTCTTGCCTTCGTTCTAACGCCTCTCTTCACCTCTCCTCTTATAATGTTTTTTTTCTCCTGTCCCTAATTTCAACTTTTCCATCTTCATATTTTATCAATTCATCCTCTTCTTCGCCTTACTACTTCCTTTCCTACCCCTTCCCAACCTCCTTTTCCGGTACGGTCTACTACCTTCCTACTTCCCGTCTTCTATCTTCTTATCCATGGCAATTTTCTCCTTCATGCTCTGCTTCCCAGTCCTTTACTCCCCCCCCCCCTCCATCTCCCATACCCCTCTGTCTCATCTTACCTCCCTCTCTCCCCTGTTTTCATCTTAACTCCCATCTCTCTCTCTCTCTCTCTCTCTCTCCCTTTATTATCTTCTTTGTTTTGTCTCTCGTCCCCTCTCTCTTCTTCATCCTATATCTCCCCTTATTTTCTCTGTCATCTGTCCCTTCTCAATTCCTCTTTTTCCCTCTTATGCTTCAACTCACCGACCTCCTTCCCCCCGTCCCAACTCACGCACCGACTCATCTTCATCTGCCCGTACGGCCTCACCTCGTGCCCTGCCCATAGGATTTGTTTTCTGCAAATCTATGGTTTTGTTTTTTGCAAATCTATGGTATGTCAATTTGGCCACAGAACCCAAACTCTGTCCACCGATCTACTTCGAAACAATGTATGAAAATGCAAATTAAGCAAATGACAAAGATATAAACACGAACACGATGAAGAATAAAATAGGTAAACAGAAAGAGAAACACAAAGGACAACAAATATAACTAGCAATACCGAAACGTCAAATTAGAGAAGGGAGCCCTGAGAGATGGAAGAAAACGGAGGTGGCAATAACGATAGGGTTGTCTAGGTATTAACAGGTCAGTACATAAGGCCAACTTTTATATTTTTGCTCTGAAGCGACCGGAAAGAGTAGAGTGTAGCTTAGACCACTTATTTGCATGTGTTTACGATTATGCAAGTGTGTGTAGGACTGTGATAAGACTTGAGTGAAAGGTCTAGCTCGTTTTAATATTTCTAAAGGGAAAGATTTATGTTTGTGTATTCAGCCTACCATAAATGTACTAATCTAATTGTGTCTCTAAACATGAACGCCAACTTTTGGGACCCGCTTTTTCAGTTGTTAGTCGTTCAATGAAATGGTCTCAATCCACAAGATTTTCATCATAACTACTGTACATTTAAACAAATGTGTGGTACTACCCACGACTACTTTCTCCCAGCTTCAGATCATTCCATTGCTCAATATATTCGCATGTAAGATATGTCTCCATGCCGCCCTATGGTGAATCACTGTAGCTTCCAATCCATGACCTCTCGTTCTATTCTTGTACCTGATATATGCATTTTGTGTTATATCTTTATCAATAACCAATATAATATTATATGTCGCGATCATATCTCCTCTTTTCAGCCTTTCCAATGCGGTCAAAATTTAACTTTTTCAATATATATTCAAACTTCAAATGAGTTATGAAACTGGTCTTGTTGTATATTTCTGAACTTTTCCGAGCTTCGTCTTGTGCCGTTTTCAAATAGTGGCTTTATGCACAGGTCACAAACTCCAGTAACCATATCTCTAGTGTTTTCAAGCAGTGCGTATGGCGTTGGCGTGATAATGTTAACATGTACCTCTAGAGTACATGGTATTGTGTCTACTCTTAAATCATTTTCATTTTCTGAATCCGAAAGCTTCCTTTTCTTCACTGTGTTCTGGTCCTTACTCCCCCCTTTAAGTAGTCACCTTTCAGACAATTCTTGCAGATTGAACACTTCACACTAAAGCTCAAATAAGTCAGTCAGTCCTCTCTAGTATTCATAACCTCACTAAAATGTACTAAATTGCCCAAACCTAACCTATCCGAGGACCCACGAATAGAAAACTGAACATCACATCAATTTTGCGAGCCGCTATGAATTTTAGAACATATTATTTTGGACTTTGGGGGACCTTTACGTCAAAATACGATGTGTAATGCGAGAGAACAGGTTGTATCTTTAATAGGTTTGAGGGAAAGTTAGAGGGTAAAGAAAAGCGGAAGTTGGAGTGAAATTAGGGAGAGGAAGGAGAGTAAAATAGAGATATAAAGAGGGATGGGGATAGGAGAGGGAAAAGAATTGAGAACGTATAGATAATACATGACAAACATTCTAACTCACACACACACACACACACAAACACACACACACACACACACACACACACACACACACACACACACACACACACACACACACACACACACACACACACACACACACACACACACACACCAACGTGAGTAAACGCTTAAAAAACAAAAAAACAAAACATTCAAACCTTCGCACCTCTACTTTTATTGAAACTATTTTTGAAACGAGGCCAGCTTCGGAGGGCGATAAACAGGGGAGGAGTTGGCGGGGCCCATCTAAATGTTAAAGCAAATGTCGGAATCCAGTGTCCATTACCTTAACTGCACAGTGCCGCCGCTCCGCTCTCTCGGCCACGTCTAGGGAACAACGGCCGAGAAGCGAAGATCAAGGGGCCAGAGGTCAAGAAATAAAGGTCATGGGGGGTCAAGGACTGAGAGTAAAGAGTCGAGAAGTGAAGATCATTAGTCGAGGAGAATAGGTCATGGGTCGAGTAGTGGAGGTAAAGGGCCGAGAAGGGAAGTGAAGGGTCGAACGTCACTGGCAAAGGATTACAGGAAGGAGGAAGAACCAGGATCAGAAACATGATATATAACTGATACAAATCACTACAATTCTGAGGGTAATGACCAAGTGTACACCAGTTTATATTGACACTAACAATAGACGTTTTAATAGACAAAGCTTTATATTTTAAGCTGTAATATATATATTTGTAAATAACCATATTAACAATGATCACATTAACAATGACCGTATTAACAACGACCACATTAACAATAATAACATTAACAACGACCTCATTAACAACGACCACATTAACAATGATCACATTAACAACGACCACATTAACAACGACCACATTAACAACGACCACATTAACAACGACCACATTAACAACGACCACATTAACAACGACCACATTAACAACGACCACATTAACAACGACCACATTAACAACGACCACATTAACAACGACCACATTAACAACGACCACATTAACAAAGACCACATTAACAAAGACCACATTAACAAAGACCACATTAACAACGACCACATTAACAACGACCACATTAACAACGACCACATTAACAACGACCACATTAACAACGACCACATTAACAATGATCATAACGTCCTTCAGAGCAACGCGAACATATAACATGCTAGCATCCAACCCACTAAAACCCATCGACTCCCAAATAGTCGAAATAATCGCAAATCTTCCTCGGATGAAACAAGACTGATAACTCTCGGCTGCTCCTCTGATAATAATAAATATCCTTCTCGAGCATAATCTCCAGCCTAAAGACTTCCACAGTCGGGGTTCACAGCCACAAACTGCTTTTGGACGTTGCGTAATTATTATTTTAATATTGTAAATATTAGGTATATATTTTTTTAGCCATACAAGGGTGTGTTTTGTGGTGATGGGGAGGGGGGGTGTGTGGTGAGGGGGGGTGGGGGGTTGTGTGGTGAGGGGGGGTGTGGTGTGGGGGTGGTGTGTGGGGTGGGGGGGTGTGTGGTGAGGGGGGGTGGGGGTTGTGTGGTGAGGAGGGGGGGTGTGGTGTGGTGTGTGGGGTGGGGGGTTGGTGGGGGTGGTGTCGGATAGTTGTGGGGAGACAGAGTGAAAAACTGTCTTCAGGGGTGACAGCTGTGAGACAGAGATAGATGCACGGATATCACTCTCTCCACTTCTCCCCCTCCTTGCCCATTATCTGCACCTTCCTATCCTTCTCCACTTCCCCCATTATCTACACTTTCCCCCTCCTTCTCCTTCCTACAATATTATATGCACATTATCCTCCCCCCCCCCTCCTACCTCCACCATTATCTCATCTTTCGATCTTTCACCTCCCCTTATCTACCCATTACCTCCAGCTTCCTATACTTCTCCTCCTACCTCCCAACCCTCCTGCTTCCTTAACTCCGTTGTCCAAATAACGAATATGGAGGACAACTGACGCTACTCCTTCACGACGAAAGTATTTCTTAACACTCACAGATAATGCTGACGAATTATCCAAAGCTTCCCATATTATTTATGTCGCTTTGAGTTGACATTCCTCACTCGTGGATCGGAAGGGGGAATAGGGGAAAGATTACAACAGGAGATAAGGAGTAGCTATAGGATCTTATATTAACATCATGTCTACTATTATCACTGCTCTCATTACTACCCACTGTGCTACTAGTTCTATCTCTATCACTAAATGCATAAACCTAGCAGATGATGTGATAGCAATTCTTACCCTAAAGTATATTGAATTAATAAGATAAAGAAGGTGTCCTAGCTAATTCGAAACATACTTTAGCATATACATTAAGTAAAACGAGTAAATATATTCATAAGTTAAATATATATATTCATATATTAAAGTATTGATGATTGAAAGGGGGAACTTAAAGAGCTGACGTCCGACCTTGCAAAAACATCTTTACGTGAACGCGTACAAACGCACTTGCGTACGCAAGCAAAAAACAAAAGCCCACTCTTACTGGTACCGAACACGTACTTGACTACATCATTCCAGCTTAATGAGAAGGAGGATTACAAAAAGCTACCTCCCAATTAGGCCCTAATATTAAAGCCATAAAAAATTACATAAAAAGTTTTCTCTCTAATAAAAGCGCTCGCTCAGCCAAGACGTTAAAGCTTCAGGGTAATTAAAAACTAAAGAGATCCTTTAGTCCCTACTGTTTCTCTTCCTACTTCTCTGTATCTCTATCTCTCCATTCCCCCCTATCCTCTCTGGCTGCGTGTGTGTGTGTGTGTGTGTGGTGTGTGTATGTAGTGTGTGTGTGTGTGTGTGTGTTGTGTGTGTGTGTGTGTGTGTGTGTGTGTGTGTGGTGTGTTGTGTGTGTGTGTGTGTGTGTGTGTGGTGTGTGTGTGTGTGTTGTGTGTGTGTGGGTGTGTGTGGTGTGTGTGTGTGTGTGTGTGTGTGTGTGTGTGTGTGTGTGTGTGTGTGTGTGTGGTGTGTGTTGTGTGTGTGTGTGTGTGTTTACAATACCTCGTATGGCACCAACTGCTTCTTGTACACAGATTTGTTGAGTGCCATTTTAATGTCGAATGCATTCATTAAAAAGTTCATTTCCTAGTCAAATACGCCAGAATAAAGTTCACGGTCGAAAATATTTCTTGGCGTGATTTTACTAGTACTAAGTTCATGACTATTTACTACACGAAACAGTTGTTTTAAAGTAGCGTGTGTTAACATGTGTTGAACGTGTAGGCTGGTGAGGCCAGTAGTATTAAATTAATAGTTGTGTTCCATTAATGCTGCCCGTTAATTATGGAGGCCAATTTGCATTTGGTGATGTGTATGGCCATCTTGTTCCGTTCTGGCTATGCCCTAAATTCTTCATTATTTTTATTATTATTATTATTATTATTATTATTATTATATTTACCAGTACTTGTAGATGGATACAATATAATTACTAAGAACTTCTAGTTCTTAGAAAGAATAATTACTAATCCGGAATGACCACATAGCACTTAAAACTGATACAAGGACAAGGAAGGAAGGAAATTATCAAAGGGAAAGCGACAAGCCATTACGACTATATAGCACTGGGAAGGGGTCAGGATACGGATTTGGGATGGGACGGGGGGTAGGAATGGTGCCCAACCACTTGGACGGTCGGGGATTCTGGGGTGAGAAGAGCGGCGGAAAGGAACCATGAGCAACCATTTGGACCGTTGGGGACTGAAGCGCCGGCCCTGCAAGATGCAAGGCCGACCAGTCCAAAAAAAAATTAACTAGATGAATGCATGTAAATAAGGATCTAGAAGAAATAAATTATAAATGAGCCATAAAGTCATGTGTGATCTTTGCACAACTATTTGGTTAAGGCGGCTATATGTGTGGAGTTACAGACACTGGTAGAAAAATGAGATTCACAAATTGGTGGTATGAAGACATGACAAAAACAGTTGATAAGATAAATTTAGATTACATGAACGCTTATGAGATGATGTATAAACGTACAAACCGCAGAGATGAAGCAATGAAATGCGATAACCAGGGAAGTATATGTGGCACTGTGGGAGAGGAGGAGGAGGGAGGAGGAGGAGGAGAAAGGAATGAAATATCATGGAGATAATGAAAGCAAAAATGAATGAAACGAAGATTGAGGAGAGCGTACCCAGATGGTTTGGTCATGTAGAACGAATTGTATAACGGTGGGCTGGCGAAGAGAAATGTATCTAAGTGATTCTGAGAGTGGCAGGAGAAGGAAGGTGAGAGGACATAGTGTGTGAGGGAGCGGGGAGTGAATGAGGGAGCGGGGAGTGAATGAGGGAGCGGGGAGTGAATGAGGGCGCGGGGAGTGAATGAGGGAGCGGGGAGTGAATGAGGGAGCGGGGAGTGAATGAGGGAGCGGGGAGTGAATGAGGGAGCGGGGAGTGAATGAGGGAACGGGGAGTGAATGAGGGAGCGGGGAGTGAATGAGGGAGCAGGGAGTGAATGAGGGAGCGGGGAGTGAATGAGGGAGCGGGGAGTGAATGAGGGAACGGAGAGTGAGTGAGGGAACGAGAAAGAGAAGAGAACTATCAGGAGAAAGCGCCAAGCCATTACGACTATACAGCCCTGGGATGGGGTCAGGACAAGAATTTGGGATGGGACGAGGGGGGGGGGCGGAAGGGATGAACATCTTGCGAGACATTGTATGGAATATGGCTGGGTGGTAGCTGTTTCTTGGCCTCAGGAACTAGTGTGTTGGTTCAGTAATAGTGGCTTTAGGCATTGTATGTACTAGCTCTATCTATTAATCCAACAAACTTTGTAAAATCTCTTTATGTATGTACCTTACCTAAATAAACATTTATTTATTTATTTATTTATTTATTTATTTATAAGGTTTATGGTCATTCATAAGCACTGTGCATTGTACTCCTGGTCATGTGACGTGGTGATTGACTGCTGGAGTGTGGCAGCTCCGCGTCCACACTCCATCTTCTTTCCCATAAAACAATATTCGCTTCAACGATTCCTCTTCTCACCCACACTTTCACTTTTCTCATACTCTTATTTCTCTCCCACACTCTCTTTGTCACTTCTCCTTCCCTTCCCACTGGCCGCCTATACCCCCTCACTCTACTCAACCATAACACAGTGAACTGTCCCCATTTTGCATATTTGCTGCCCAAGCACTGCCACACACACGCTGTGAGGGATGGAGAGAGAGAGAGAGGAAGGGATGAGATGAGAGAGATGAGAGAGAGAGAGAGAGAGAGCGGAGAGGAGAGGGAGAGAGAGAGGATGAGAGAGAGAGAGAGATAGAGAGAGAGAGAGAGGAGGAGAGGAGAGAGAGAAGAGAGAGGAGAGAGAGAGAGAGACAGAGAGGAGATGAGAGAGAAAGAGAGAGCGAGGAGAGAGAGAGAGATGATGAGAGAGAAGAGAAGAGAGAGAGAGAAATATGTGAATGCTGGGCAATGCAAGCCCACACAAACTATGTAAATAGAAAAAATAAAAAGCATAGGAAATGTATCTATTTCATTGTGTCCTTTTGGGGATTGTGTAGCTTCTTACGCTTGTGTACTGTAAAGCGGGCAAATTGAACCCTTGTTACCTCGAGAGCTCGGGCTCTGTTCTGTAAGCCTCTGGATGAGAAGGATAAAGTCCAAATGTAATTTAAAGATAAATGGAAGGAAGAAGAAGAGGAAAAGGGAGGATGAATAGGAGGTAAAAATGTTTCGCAAACTTCACCATTGCAGATGCCGATAATATGCAACAGAAGGTCTATCTTGGTCTATGTGGCTCCTGAGCTGTCAAATATTTAAAAACTTACGGCATTGCAGGAGTCTAAAACTAGTGGCTTTAGGTATGTATTACCTCTATCTATGTATGTAGCGCCTATGTATGTATATCAAACAGGACGTTTGTACTGTAACTCTGCATCTATGTATGTCCTTTTCCTAAATAAATTATTATTATTACTATTATTATTATTATTATTATTATTATTATTATTATTATTATTATTATTAAACTCAAGTTCACAATGACAGGTACGTGATGAAGTTTAATCTCTCCATATAAATAACTTGTAATAAACGTATTAAAATCATTAACTATCCTAACACCACAAGAATAAGGCTCGGTAGAAAGATAAAATAGATATCGAAATTAGAATGAGTTTGTGTGCAGTGATAACTTA